TGAGTCTATCACCTCCTAGTGGACCTTGAGATAAAATAGCTGAGACAGCAGAGTTAAACGTTCGAACGAAAGGTTTTGTGAAATCGGGGTATTCTAGTATTGGAGCGTTATGTCAAACACTTTTAAGGGTATCGAAAGCTAATTGCTGTTCATTCTGTCAATTGAAATTAACATTATTTTTTAAATAGGTTAATGAGAGGTTTCGCTACTTTGGAAAGATTGTGTAAGAATCTCCGATAGTGTTTATATTTAATATATTGAATTTCATTTATTAGTAATATTTAAAACTTTAAAAAGGTTTATGCTATACTCGTTATTAGTACAGACCCAGCTGGCGGTGGTCGGTGTTAGTGGTGTGATTTATTTGAGAAAACCAAGGCCCTACATTAGAAGGATGCAGGACTTGAAGTGGAGGTCCGGGTCGAGTCCGAGATGGTTCTCGGACACGGACTATTCGCCGCTCACTTTCGCCGGCTGACACCGAATCTGTTTCCTGCTCTTGGACGCCTCTTGCCTAATGTGGGGGGACCAGGGTCGGTCTGCCGCCGCCTGTACATGGGGGTCATCAGATTGGCCCTCTACGGGAGCTCCTGTGTTTGGATGCCTTGAGTGCCACGAATAGAGCGTTGCTGCGACGACCGCAGCGCGCCATGGCACTCAGGGCTATACGCGGCTACCGCACAGTGGCCGGCGAGGCGGCGTGTGCTTTGGCGGGATCATGGGACTTAGAGGCTAAAGTCCTCGCGGAGGTATAAGTCGCTGAGGCGAAGGGGTGCGGCGATAACGTTTCCACCGAACGAATCGCAAGGTGCATCATTTTGATGCGCACCTGGCAGGAACGTTTGGCGGCTCCCACTGCCGGACATAGAGTGGCACAGGCCATTAGGCCTGTCCTGGAGAAGTGGATCGGTTCCCGAAATGGCAGTTTGTCATTCCGGATGGTGCAGGTGATGACTGGGCATGGATGCTTCGGTCATTATGCACGCTATCGGGAGGGAACCGAGCCAAAGGTGCCACCATTGTGCCTGCGCCGACGATACGGCGCAGCACACGATGACGGAATGCCCGGCGTGGGAGGAGCCGCGAGGGCGGCTCCGTGACGTCGTCGGGTCGGATCTCTCGCTGCCGGCGATCTTTAGAACAATGGTCGACAGCAGGGCGGCGTGGAGGGCGATGGCCTCCTTCTGCGAGACAGTCGTTTTACAGAAGGAGGCCGCCGAAAGGGAGAGGGAGGAGAATGCTTCTTCCGACCCGATCCGGCGACGTCGCATGAAGACTAAGTGCCCACTGGTGTCATGGGCACTCATGCGGAGGACGGGGACAAAAGTCCCTTCGTGGTGTGCCCCAGCCCTGGGCAGGGTCGGGGTAGCCGTGGCTGGGTTGCAGCAGAATCGCTTAAGCGGGCCCTGCATCCAGCATTTGACGGCAGAGGAGGACACCCGATGGGTTTTAGTTGGTAGGTCTGCCCTTCTCAGAGCGGGAGTCCAACATAACTCTCCTTGCTTCCCCTAAGGAGAGTATGCATGATGCATTTCCCATCGTTAAAAAAAAAAAAAAAGGTTTGACACCTATTGCGTTGTGATATTTCCTAATCCCTAGAGTGGGATGGTTAGTATTTGTTTTTGAGGGATATAAATTCAACTCCTACAACGTACGGGGGGCAGTTTTTCGTTATTGAAGTTAAGGCTGTTGCTCTGCTAGAAGAGCTAAGTGTTATTGTTATGCTATTATTGAGTTATAGTTGTAGGTATAAATTGGTAAAAGCTATGTTTTATAACTTGTTTCTAACAAGTAATACACAAGCTCCATGAAGAATTTTATATTTCCTGGCATTAGGAATGAAGAAAGTTTTGGAAGGCTTTGATTTTGTCAGGATTTAGCTTAACCCTCTTATTAGTTAGTATTAACAACACACTTCCTTTCGGAGGAACTCACATTTATTTGGCTGTAATTTTAGATTAAAATGTCGAAGCCTGTCGTAAAAGTTTGAGATTTTTTTTATATGAGTGAAAATGAAATGAACATATATCTAATGTCATCTAAGTAAACGAAACACTGGAGACCTTGTAAGCCGGATAGAGCCGGACTGTGTTCGTCAATTTTTGAAAAAAGGGGCATTTTTAAATCCGGAAGGCATTCTAGTGAACTCGAAATATCCTTGTGAGACAGAGGAGACTGTTTTAGAGGCATCCACTTCAGGCATTTATATCTGATGAGGTCCAGAAGCGAGGTTTAAAGTGCTGGAAATATTTACATTTACCTAAAACTCTGGTCTAAAATTTCAGTAAAATCATCTGGAATATAGTAGGAATCTCCGATGGTAATGTCTTTAAACGGCAATAGTCTATAAGTCACCATTTACGTTGACCAGATACTAAGCTATCTTTTTGCGTACAATCCAGATGGATGATGACAAAGGAGAAGTTGAGAGTCTGATTATACCCCTATTTAGCATTTTGTTCATTTGACTCTCTACTTCTTGTTTGTGAACGTCGAGAAAACGGTAAACTCTAGTATAAAGAGGAACGAAGGATGAAGTAGGGATTTCATGTTGTAAAGCATCTGTGAATGTCGATGTGATGGGACGCAGAACGCAGATATCTTTCATTTACCTCGTGAATAAATGAAAGATGTCTGCGTCAGTAGAATGTAGATCATATAACGCTTCATTTTCTTCGCCGTTAAAATGAGATATTCTTAAAAGCTTCAATATTATTTTGGACACGAATAAAATTCAACAGGTACATAGTTGTTACCCGATCACTTTCGATCCCTGTGAAGTTAACAACATTCTCTTTTGATTTGGGCATTTTTTCTATTGCACATTCTATTATAATGGTGATAAATGTGGCACTGTCGATGAGCAGCGATAAAGGCCTCGATGAAACGGATGTTGGGATCTTTATGAATGGTAAGAATTTTTCTAATGTTTCTTTTTATTCAGGTATTGAGCACGAGAGGAGAGCAAAGAGAGAACGAGAATACGAATTATAATTCGATTCATTGCCGTTGGTAGGCAGAAAAGCAATTGAATTAGAATGATTAGGATTCAATCCATCTATTTGTGGCTGGTTACTCTGTTGGCTAAATTGATTTGTAATTGGAATAGTGAACTTGATGATTCATCGAGATATGAAGTGTTTTTTTTTTTTTTTTGTGGAAAAAGAATGCAAACGAGAAAGCGGGTCACCTGATGGTAAGCGATCACCGCTGCCGATGAACACTTGCAACATCGGTTTCGTCAAAATTGCGTTGCCGGACTTCAAGGTAGGAGTAAGCTCTCTGTTTGAAGGTCCCTAAGTCGTATCGGCTTAGGTTTTCATCTTCCCCTGCGATACCGGACGGGAAACCATCCTCGTTTAAATTCCAATCTGTTTCATGTACACCCTGATCCTCTATATTAATGGCATGAATTGACTGATTACGGTTTTAAAATGAATTTGGCAGTGGGTGACTATTATTTTATTAATAACGACACGTTGTCGGTTATTAAATTCACGTTTACGGCATAATATATACGTTTATGATGTGATATTTGGTATTTTAAAATATAGATACACTGGAGACTCATATCGGAATCCAGCGGAAACGATGTTGTTTAATGGCCTTGCAAAATTTGGCCTATTCTTACTTGACTCAGATTCATTTTAATGAGATTGGCGATTATATCAATGACCCTGGTTTGAGTTATGAGATTATTTTTTCTTTAAAAATGGCAAAATCAATGGAATCGTTGAGTTGATAGGCGAGGATTTAAACCAATAACAAATGTGTGCTATACTAAGTCTTCATTGCGACGACAGGGCCTGCCCGTTTTTTTCGTCGGGATAGATATATTTATTTCACTTAGTAATTTAGATAAACAAGTTCTATGCGGAGGGCGTACTGGTGGACTGTTTCACCATTTGACTGATTACATTCTTGTAAATCCGAAAGCAGTATATATACACAATGTTTTCTTTCACCGAATTGCGATTTCAGAAAATCTTCTAACTATGACCAATCTTCAAAAACTTTAATGAAGCATGCACTTTCGGTGCGTCCTTTAAGTTGGCTATTAACATATTTTAAAAGAATATCTTGTTGGCGTAGCGATGCTAAGTTCATCGCATTTCTAAAGTTATTTTTAACCGGTTGTAGCTTTTCCCGATTTCCATCAAATTTTCTAACGAATTTACAGAGAAAGTTTAAATCAAGTTCTTGTGACTATGCACTCGTTGAAGATTCGCCTTTAAGCACGAGTTTTAGGAGAAATTGAGGATTTTTTGACTCATAAATCCCTTCACCTATAACACCATTGTTATACGGGACTTCGAATATTAATTAAAAAAAAAAAGAACTTTCAATTAGATGTATGTATTTGAATATGAGAGAAGAGCTTTCGAAAGAGATTGTGGAAATGAACTAACCGGCTTACTGACGAACTGGAGTGAATATGAACGAATGTACTGATGTCGCGTAAACTGTTAGTATCTACCATATTGATAATATTTCATGATAATATTTAATTATTACGATGCTTCATTTTCGTTATGCAAGGCGCGGAGTCCTGTTATTTTACTAGTCCGTGGAAAAGAAAGACTTAAATTTTACATGAAAATTGACCTGGTTTCTATAATTTTTACGAATTAAACTTTAATCCTTTGTACTGTCTGTTTACGTTTAATCTTATAATTATTAATTTTATAATACTGCTAGGATTTTGTTAATTGACGAACGCCGTTTTCATGTCAGGTGTCATCTTGTCGTTGTCATTTATTTGTCATTACGTGGCTCAAGTCATCACAGAAAATAGCAAGGGAGCCAAACAAGCTATCGATATTTAATTAATGAATAAAATATATTAGGATATTACAAATACAATGGACTATTTATATAGATCTTTATTAATATCTTCAGTTCTATTTATCACATTATTAAATAAAGCAAATGCCTATTCTATCACAGTAGACGCACACGCCGAAGAGTGCTTTTACGAAAATGTACAAGCCGATACAAAAATGGGTAAGGTTAAGCATAAAGTTCAGAAATTACTTGCGACAAAATGAACAATTGTATTTTAAATATAAGTGCGATTGATAAAGTTGACAAGATTATGCAAAAATCCAATTAGTATAGTTATTAAACTAATTTTATTAGTAATAAAAATTATGTACCATAATACCAAATGTTCAATATTGTAGGTGACTGTATCATTTGTGGTGTGAAGTAACAAAGTAAAAACAATTGTTTACAGGATTAACATTTGAGATAGCAGAAGGTGGTTTCTTAGACATAGATATCACAATTACTGGTCCTGATGGTGCAGTAATACATAAAGGAGAAAGAGAGTCTTCTGGTATCTATACATTTTCAGCTCCCACTTCAGGACGCTACACATACTGCTTTAGCAATAAAATGTCTACGATGACACCGAAGGTACATATGATTTATCTTTTCGACTCAGTTTTCCATTACATCCATCGAGTTGGGTGTTGATATTTGTTTTTTACAGAAAGATTACATTATAATAAGGACACACACAAAGCTTCAACATGCGGAAACGCATAGTTATTGAAAAAAAAATTTAAACTTGTTATTTTCACTAAGAAAGTCCACCATTTTACTAATTTAAAAACTCAGTAACACAGTAGTGCCCACATAATATATATAGGAAGTAAGCGACGTCATACTTGTATCGATCGTAAAACAAGTTATTAAAATAAAAAAAAAAATAATATGTCGCAGATCAGACACAGAGCAATCCGACTCAGATACATTAGGTTAGAAGGTTAAGGCGCCTTAACCTTCATGGTTTTTTTTTTGACTACCCACAGAACATTGTAATGGTAGTTTTAGTGTTTTTTTATATGGCGCATGATGGCGGATTCCTCTAGTAATAATTTACTGTAAATTCGCTAAGGGATAATTTTACCAAAATTTCCTCAAAATTAAATATATAAAAAAAGCGAAAATCGGGGGTCTTTTCCTTATATGGGGGGGTAATAGCCCATACCCGCCCCCCGCACCGCTCTTGTCCCTCAATTCGACGGACGTCAATGGAAAGTCCATCCTTTCCTCACATTTTTTATTTTTTGTCTCTTTCCCCCTCATTAGATTGAATAATAGAGAATGCCTAGAGCATTAAGTATTCATCAATAGTAATACCCCTTGTATCTTAAAAAGCCTAGTTGGAAACTGTCTGTTTAGTGTACAGACATGAGTAACATTGCTCATGTTTTTTTTATACTTAAAACAACTTTTCTTCTTTAAAATGTAACATATTAGAATATAATGTTCTTCTCACTGCTTGTGTTTGAAAAACTATATAATTTAAGGTAATACTAAGATGCAATGCTTAATCACTGTTTATACTCATAATTATTAATTTAAGAGTGGTATATGGTATCAGTATTTTTCCAAGAATAAGTATTTTATAAGGGAAAGTAAAAAGTAACAAAATATATTGTGATAATATGTCAACTTATTAGTTAATATCTAAAGCAAACATCAGGAAATTGTAATACACAATTGCATGAATTGCATGTAATGACAATTTGTATGAAAATGTTTATATTCAGGGTCTTTTTCTGTCCTGGTATATCTACCAATTAAGTATGATGTTCAAAAGCCATCTCTACTGAGAAATTTTATCAATAACAGTCTGTTTTATTCAACCTTGACATTGGCAGAATCATCAAGCTATCCTTGATGGAGCCACTATGATAAAATTACTTATCAATATTATGGATATATTGAATAATATTATGGATAAATTTTACCTGATGTTTGTGATTTTCTTATAAAAATTTTACCTGATGTTTGTGATTTTCTTATAATAAGTAAAAAATCAAAATTTCTCTTTTGAAGGTGGTGATGTTTAACTTGGAAGTTGGAGATTCCCCTGCAAAAAATGGTGAGAAAGAAGATGAAGTTAATCACAATAATCTGGAAAATATGATCAAAGAACTTGCTGCCACACTGAAGACTGTAAAACATGAACAAGAGTATATGCAGGTAGTATTTTATGTCATTATAAATCCTGATGCTTCTGGGAAGCTTGTTATCACTGATTTGGTCCAACAGGGGCAAAAATATTTGTTAACAAACTTTATAATTAAATTTAATAACAAACTATATTACCGCATGGACTAAACTGATATAACAAGTCTCCTTCAATGTCAATGGCCATTGTGGCACTGCTTTATGATTTGATGGCAAGAGAGCTGGCGGATCACCTGATGTTAGGTGATGACCACTGCCCATGGACATTTCTCACCCATGGGGTTGCAAATGTGTTGCCACACACACACACACACACACACACACATTAATTAAAGTGGGCCCGTTATCTCACTCACTAAAGGAAACGCAGAAGTATTACACTTCCAGTTCACGTCGGTCTTCTCTGAATACTGTCATGGTACTTCTCAGGATTAGGACAATCCTGAGAAGCACCCATTCGTGAAACAGCAAAGACTTGCGCGGCCCTACCACTTCTAAACATAGTGTGGGATTAGTTAGTTTTAACAACTTTTCTTTACATCTGCTCCATTTTATATAATTTTTAATGACACAATACAAATTAGTATATAAAAAAAACTAATGAAAATTGGTTACTGACATATTAACGCCGCCGCTGAATAAGTTGCACTTATGCGCATATAAATTGTACGCACGCGCACACTGTTATCTTAGGTAAGGTTAGGTTTTTAATTTTAAATAGTGATTTATTTAAAATCAAAACATATCCTAACCTAAACTGCCAAATATGTAGCTGCGGTGGCGTTAATATTTAAGTATCGAAAATTGTATTATATCATTACCACACCTTTTGCATTGCTAGATTTCTATCTTATGTCGATATTTAATTAAGCAAATTAGCATAATCAAAATTGCCTGTTTTTGATTATACTAATTAGTTCAAATTGATTCATGAACATAAGAGTATATTTAACTAATAAATGATATTCTTTTAAGGTTCGCGACCGCATTCACCGGGCTATTAATGAAAGCACAAATTCTAGAGTTGTGATGTGGTCAATCTTTGAAGCCTCCGTACTATTGGTCATGACTCTAGGTCAAGTCTATTATCTAAAGAGATTCTTCGAGGTGCAACGCGTCGTATAACAGTGCTATTGTGTTGTTTAATTTTATATTAAGTTACAAAAAAGAAATAAACAATAAAAAAAGATAGTGAAAAGAAATATTGTGACCCATTTATAAAAAATAACAATTAAACCTTAAATATTTTGTGTGCATATGATTATATTTGTTTATTTTTTAATGGCAATTTTTTTTAGAATCCATACATCATTTTCACATTTGAAGTGTTATTAAACTACCTTTTAGCTTTAAAGCATCTCTAAAGTTTATCAATTACTTTCTCAAAATTATAAAGTTCAGTTGTGCCCATTATATTCGTCAATATTTCACATGATACATGATTAGAAATTAAAAAATAAATAAAGTAATAGCCCATAATACTGGGGCTGCTGAACTAAGACCTAATCTGTACAGGAGTATTAGGGCATATACCCCTGCGCAATCCCACTGCGAATTGGCGTGGAACACATTTAACTTCATATAAATTCTTGAATCCAAAATTTTAACATGTATCATTACATATACATAGTGCTACATGACTGTTACCATATTATATACACAGATAAGACAATAGCGCACCGAAATTGAGGCGCTCAAATTACACCAATTGGTGGAATTCTATACATTGTTATCTCTTTTCGTATCATATATTCTATATCATCTGTCACATTCACTTATATATGTCATATAACGTAAAGCGGATCAATTTTTAAACGCCGCGCAGTATGGACATGCGTCATCTATGTACAGACAGACAGTGAAGTCTTAGTAATTAAGTATAACGTTTTACCCGTAGAGTTCCATACTTTGGGTATGGAACTCTAATTAGTCTTAATACAGTTGTAATTTAAATTGGGTCCACTATGTGAACAGAAATCAATCACTAAAATAAAACGAAAGCTATTGACACTGTTAAGTAACAAATAACAAAATAAACGACATAAAATGTTTATTCAACAAAAGCATATCAAACATATTATTGTAATAAACACATTGTAAGTATAACATATCAGAAACAATCAGATCTACAATATATTAATATTATTCAACAACTTTTATTAATGATCTATCATCCGAATCCCATTCTTTATAAAAAATATATAACTATCACACTTATAACTTGTGATTATTGTAAAATTAATTACCATTTTTGATTCATGTTGCTATATTTTTCTGGGTATCTACTTATATTTCTTTACTTAAAATTACAATCAGACTTATAAATGAAATAAAAAAATCTCTACATGCAAAAAAAAATCGTTATTATACGTGTAAAAATTACAGGTAATAATAGCAAATAAACTACTCTCAGAGATTTGATCTCCTTTACTCTTGTGCATATAGGAACTTGGGGGATGTATATACGTCTTGGAAACATACAGGCGATATAGAATTTAAATGCCTAACTAAAGTTTATCAATGAGTTACGTGCAAAATGACAACAAAATTTTATGACTTATAGCGGGAGCTTAAGCGAATCTGAGTATGGCGCATACGAGAGAAATACTTGCAGCATGTCACATCTATTCGATTATGGACATGGAAGAACTTCTGTAATCTCTTATAGCCAACAGTTTAAGCAGTGACGTATCGGTCACGTGAAACAAGTATATAACTCATTATACATATTAGACATAACGATATACACATGTAGGTACACGGTCGCATGGGCGTAGCCAGGGTTCAAACATCCCTTGAAATAGTATTGAAAATATTACAATAATATTAAATCAACATTTTTTTAAAAATTAGATTGTATTTAATTAGTGGTATTAAATTTGTGATGTAAAGGATTTTATTTACGTAATTTAAACAAAAATCTAAATATGTTTACTCCTTTTAAATGTAACTCAGTCTTATTTCTTTGTAAGGTACCCAAAAAATTTAATATTGCCGGCATAGTAAAATCTGGCTACGGCCGTGACTGTGTAATTTATTTATATAGTTAAATATAACTTCGAGACAAAAATATGTAAGAAACACAAGATTTACTGCTTTCCGTCTAAACGATGTGCTTAGCCCAAGCGGCCAGTGACGATAGCGGGTACTACGGTACCCGCAGGCAGCGTGGGACACTCTTCAGTCGCAGGCGGCAATTCCAGCAGTACGCTGGCACCACAAGCGCTGAGCAGTCGACTGCTGCACTGTTGAGGCGAAACAGTCATTTGTAGGCCCGAATAAGACCGTAGCACCACGCTTTCATAAGCTTTCTTCGTTCAAGCACGAGGACTAACTGGCCCCGTTGTACCCTCACCTGGTTCCCCAGCACGTCGACGGACGGCAGATCGTAGTCCGTGAATGTAATCGTCGCCCTGACGTACTCCGGCCTAGGGTCCAGTCGCAGCGGCTCGGCGGTCCGAGCGCGCATCCGCGGGAAGTCCCCGCCGCGGCCCGCACACACGCGCAGCGCCCTCACTACGAACAGCAGGCAGCACACGTACGCCGACACAGGGTTGCCTGCGCGGAAAATACAATCTCACGTTTGAACACCAGCAGTGGCGGATTTGCAGTCCTGACCGCCCTAGGCCCCAGGGATGTATGAAGTACCAGCCTCTACTTTCTCAGAATCCAACATATAGACTATATGACGACTGTACTTTATTGCCAAATTTTATATGAATCGTTCATCTTAAATTTAGTTAACTCAAATACCTGCTAGTTTGTAACATTTTCCGTGTTTTAATATATTTTTTTAATAATAATAATAGTTCCAAATTTAAATAATATAATTAAAACCGTTTCATTTATTAAAGGACAGGTTTAATCTCCTTACTTACGTACTTTAGCGCAGAAATCATTAATTATATCTATGCAATCGGATTACCTTAAAATCAGCTTCTATGTTTAGCAAAGAAAGATCGTTTAACCATTGTTGCGTCTTATCTTTTTGAATTCTGAAATTTATTCAATAACTACAGTTATTACCAATTTGTTCTTAAGAACCCATAACAGATCAAGGGCTGTTTGAAAGAATTTGCCACGTGTCCCGCGCTTGCTTAATTCGGCACTGATTGTAAGATAAAACATAGTTCGGCAATCGAAAAGAAACCGTGTAAAAAGCAAATATCGTAAAGAAAGAAGATATATTAAAAAAGTTATTTAGTAATCAATTATCCCGTATAATTTCGTTTCCTGGTAGTTTGAATACCGAAAGCGTATCCGATGAAGAAAAGAGTGATTGTGTAAGATGAAGAAGAGAGTTGGACAATGGCTGTTCTAATGACTACTCGCCTGGCAATGCGAAAATGTACTTCGTCTTTCCTTCAAACTGGCAGGTGGCGAAAGTGCTTGGCTTGCCAGGCTTCATGCGTACGCGACCGAAGTGCAGCGTAGCCCCAAAGTCCTGCCAACAACGGAACAACAACAATAATTCTCTTTCAGCTACAATTATTTTAATAATTTACATGAATGAAAAAGAGACATAATTTCATATCTTTCAAGGTATGTCCATCTTATTAATAAAGATGTTCTTTTTTTGAATTTGTAACATTTTTAATACACTTTTTTTACAATTTACATTAATGAAGGAAACTTCGTAATATTAAACTAGAAAATATAACCTGACCTAATGACAGTTCTTAATACGCATGCAAATTTTCAAATTAGTAAGACGGTGACAGTTGATAGTTACATATAAATAAAGCGTTTTAAAAATTAAACGGGCTGTATAACCGTTGATCTCTTTAAATATATTAATTACATTCTTTGGATCAAAAGAAATAAAACAATTTTAAACATAGAATCGACGAGCATTTCTTTGTGACCTAAAGGCCATATCGACAACTGATTAAATATTTGAGGAATGTTTGTAAACATTGCCATACGCCTGTTATTGTAAAACTATACATACTGTTGGTCACTTCTAAACATTACGACATATTTAAATAATCTACGAAATTGGCTATTCTTTTATTACGATATATATATCTATAATATATAAAAACTCTCTTCCACTGATTGAACGAGACGCAGCTTGGAGTTGTAGCATTTTGTTATCGTAGCCGTTGTTTTGTCGTACGCGTTTGGTCAAATCAAAAAATGCTTTACACTCGCGTCAGAAACAGCCAGTACAGGCCGCCGCTTCACCTTTCACTCTACGGTCAAGGTGAGTGTAAACCTGAACCAGGACGGGCTTGAGGAGGTCCCGCTCCCCCATAGACACGCCGCCCGTGCAAACGAGCACATCCGCGCGTTTCAGCGCGGCGCACAAGCTCGCCGCCAGCTCGGCCGCTTCGTCGCGCGCCACGCCCACGCACACGCTCGCATAGCCGTGCTCCCTGAAACGGGTGATAAAAAACTACTAGCTGTCCCGGCAAACGACATTTTGCCGTATGAACTGTTTGTAGGCTAGAAAAAAATGGTTGGGGCGGACCACGCTTAAAGTTTGGGGGGATGAAAAATAGATGTTGTCCGATTCTCCACCCTAATATATGGAGCTATAGCTAACAACAATAGTCATCACGTAAGCTTTCAAACAAAAAACACTGCACCGTAATCTGTCCATTCCTTTAGAAGCTACGGTGTCACAGACAGACGTGTCAAAGTCAAAACGGACGTCAAAAATCAAAGAAACAGCCTATAATATATGGCTTATTATTGCCCACGGCTGGGCAAAGGCCTCCTTTAGAAAGGATATTAAGGCGTATTCCAACACGCCACACCACTGCGGATTGGCGAACTTAACATATCTATATTCGAAATGTTGTTTTTTTTTTTAATTGAGAATATGCAGATTTTCTAATGATGTTTTCCTTCACCCCTGAGCACGTGATTAGCCAGCATTATCATCATAGTCATTAAAATCTGAGCAGTTCTAAATGACTAGACTTGACATGATACGAAAAACAAAAGTATAACATAAACACTTCTACTTCACACCGGTCTTCTGCCAGGTCGCGGTACTTCCCCGGACGAATCTACGCATTCGTGCAATAGCAGAACCTATTACGTATCCACAGTAAATAAAAAATTTCTTCTTCTTCTTCACTTTTTTACTTGTAATCATCGTAAAATAACGCAGATAATAAAACAATCACAAATATAATATGGTTGGAAGTCTTAGAAAGGACTAACCCAGTGTTTAAAAGGAAATAAAGCTGCAATATATTACATTACGTATACAAAAACATGAATAATTTTAATATAAATACTGTTCGATACTGGCCAGTCACAAACATTAGCATACCTGAGGAGTGCATTTATCATCGTCTGGTTAGAGTCGCGAATATGTGCCGGCTTCAGTATTATCTCCGATGGATCTTGAAGCTCATTGCCCGTTGACAGTATTGCCACCTTGTTTTGCAAAAATATTATTTGTTATTGATAATTAGTTATTGATAAGCAAACCAAAAGAAATGTTTGTAATACTTTTATTAGATTTGAACAAGCACTGGAAGGGGTTAGAGATAGATACTGTTGGCTGTTACTACCTCTCATCAAAATATAATTTAACGTAACTTTCGTGCCGATAAAGTTTGCATTTGTCCTTATATTCAAAAAGTATGTAGAATCGCATTTACGCGAACAATGGTTTAAGCACAATGGTTTACGCAGTTACGTTAAAGAAGGTATGTATGATACCTTCTTTAACAATGAAACTATTTCACATGTCTAAATTCTGAACTCAGCTATCATGGTCACTTCTGCCACGTCTGCTATCCATAACTTCTGCCTTAAATTTTTATCACTAGGTTATTACCAGTTTAGTGGTACTTGTTGTAGTTTATCTGATTGAATCAATGTTTGTAACTTATTTTAAAGCGATTTCCCTATGAGCTAATACTCATTAGTTTATATTTATATATTTTATATTTATATTTTTTAGTTTTTTTTTATATTTATATATTACATTAGTTAGTTTTATATTATTACAGTAGAGAAAATTATTGGTTTTATTGCATAAGTACACAAATAAGTTTTTTCTTTGATCACTGCTTTCTCTCTACAATTCTTACAAATTATATTTTCAGTTATTAACAGTTTACAATTACAAATTTTCAAGATAATATTTAGTTTGTAACAATCTTTATGGGGTTTTAAATCTTTTACAATTTTTTACGTGAGCCTTATTTAAATTATTTTACACTTTTCAGTCCATTTTAAAAACGCGATATATCAATTTTTACAGAACTACTTCAATTTATCGTAGTTCAATGCAGTTTTAAGAAAAGAATAAAAGTCATACCTTAGGCTGGGATCTGATTTTTATGTGCTGATAACCGGCGCCAGCCAACAGCCCGATTAGCGCTGCATCGACTACAGCTCCTGTTTATAAATCCATATTGACTATGGGAGAGGTTGGAAAGCGAGCGGGCAGTTCAACTAATGTTGGTAGTTTTTTGACCTGCAATAGGAACTTAAAACAGGAATATATAGAATAAAGAAATTTTGACTTTGACTTTGATCATGATGTTGACATCAACATCGCACGGGGTTTGAAGTTTCAGAGTTCAGTTTTTCAGTTCAGAGTTTCAATTCCCTGTTTCGACAGTTGGGTGTGATGCCGGTAGTTCTGCTGCGTGGCTCTACCACAACAAAATAATGAGATACTTTTAACGTCTTTTAACTCTTACTCGAAGAGGTAGTCGTGATAATTATGCACATACCGGGCGCAAACGACAAACAGTCAATTATACTTATAATCCGAAAATCTGAAACACATTAGTCGGCAGGCGGCCGAGATGTCAACCCTCGAGTCTAAGATTGCAACTTCAACATTTCAACCGCTATACACTCACTGCTTATTACTATATAACATCAGATAAACATAAAGACGATCAACAGTTTTTTTAGAGACCTCATTTTGTCTTTACTGTGGTATGAATCGGAGAAGGAATAAATTAATACCTTCGCTAACGAGATGAGCTCCCAAAGGTATGTCAAAACCGATCGGTCGCACATCTTGTTGCGGCTTGGGCGCTTCCAGGATTTCAACTTCCAGTTCGATTTCATTGTCGGGCGATGCGGAAACGAGTTTCGTATCCTCTACCTAAAATGTTTATGGACTGAATAAAGGAATATAGTTGTTTCAATGTACATTGGTATAAATATTTGACACACAGGACAGGCGCGCGTAATAGCTCAGTATCCGGGCCCTTGAGCGATCTTAGTTCAAATCTAATGAAATTGTTAATTGCATAACGTTGCAATTAGCAATTTTATTAGTGCTGGGTGTAAGTGCTGACTTATCACCTGCCCAGCGATGAAGGAAAACATGGTGAGGAAAGAAATATTTTCGAATCAATAATATAAAAACATTTCGAACATATGTGAAGTCTGGCAACCAAAACGGGGTCACGTGATAGAATCTGCTCTTATACATACTAGATATATAGAGGATCCCTTTGATCAGTTGGGATATACAGCGTGTCGTTAAAACCGCGACAATAAATGAACACACGTCTAACGCTACTTGCCAATAATCATAAAACGTTAAAAAATCCATCAATAAAAACATATATTTGTCAAACAAACTAATTAAATAAAAAGAAACAAAATTTTTAACATCCTATACAACTACAACCGACTGTTCATACATTCAGAGACTTTTTCATTCATTGCCAAAAAGTCGCATTACAAGTCTCTCCTTCTAACAGGTGAGAAACTAGTGTTTATTTAAAGTATTTTTTAATCTGTGTAAACAGATTTTCTTTTCAAATGAATTACACCACAATGCATTACAATTTACAGATATTTAAAAATTAAGCAAATATTTCATAATTTTTTCTGTGAAATGTTGGCAAGCAATTAGGCATTCACAAAATTTTTAGTGATTAACGTCACACATGAACATCTTAAACACATGAAGAGTTATATTTGCATTGCCAATATACAGCGTATCGTTACCATCGCGACAATAAATGAACACACGTCTAACGCTACTTGCCAATAATCATAAAAAATATTAACTTTAAACAAAATCCATAATTAAAAAAAAATATTTTTCCAACAAACTAATTAAGTAAAAAAGAAACAAAATTTGTAACATCCTATACAACCCAACCCAAGTAGGGAAGTGCATAAGTTTTTCCTGGCAAAGTACAATCAAGTATAAGAAGCTATTAACATTGGATTAAATAAAATTTTGAAGGTGTCATATACAGCGTGTCGTTACCATCGCGACAATAAATGAACACACGTCTAACGCTACTTGCCAATAATCATAAAAAAATATTTTTCAAACAAACTAATTAAGTAAAAAAGAAAAAAAAATTGTAACATCCTATACAATTCGCGCCACAGCGTCGCATTACAAGCCTCTCCTTCTAACAGTATGTTTTATCTCTTTTAAATTCACACAAACCCATTCATATGCTTTGTGACTTTTACAAATGAACTTTATGTTACGTTTATACGTAAGGGTGTTCTAAAAATGTTTATTTTGTAAAATTTAATAACTCTATAAATATTGATGTTTAAAGAATGTAAATGCTTAATACAATTTTAAATAGTTATCCTCTATATGTGTGTTCATTTATTTTCACGGTGGTAACAACACGCTGTATATATATAAGCTGTTACATTACTCCCTTTTACTTTACACAGGACTTTATATCAAATGTTTGTTTTATTTATATCTAATACATGTCGTTTTTAATTAAAAATATTAGAAAATATAAACTATTATAATTATAGTTGTTTTATAAAAAATGTTTATAATCTATACACAGTCACACAAGACATAAATATTGTTTATCCATATCATCCATATAAGCTCTCATATTCTATCAAATAACCTTAATTTTTACTAAAACTTAACGAGCAGGTCGTCAATTTATCGCGCAACAATATAAGCAATAACAAAGCAATTCAATGGTTGCTCAATAGCCAACATCTAAAAACAACAACAGATAAACTCTAACCCTGATATACTTTTACCTTGATTCGGTCAATTTTTGGGGTTTATGAAAATGTACACATCCTGATGGAATAAACCTGAGGAAGGAATTACCTGCACTATACAGTCAGCACCTGGAGGCAATGGTGCTCCAGTATTGATACGAGCACATTCCCCAGCTCTGAGTGGTGTCTTGTAAGATTCACCAGCCAGCACTGCAGCACGTACACGTCTTACGCCTGCACCGTCGGAACTAATACATGCATAACCTGGCAAATATTTTAAACGATTATAAAATCTATTTTGCTCCCCTCCATATAATTTATAAATTATACAATTTTTTCAAATTCAAATATTTTAATCAATTTTACAATCAATATGAGTATAACTTTACTGGCTCCCTATGTTTATCATGTTGGCAGTACTTTTACTAAATAACACATTTTATATAATTTATTTTAAAATTATTATAATTCTGCTTGTCAATGAATGAAATATCTTTAGTGATTTTTCTTTACCAAATAAAATTTTTTTAAGTTGAAAACCACCCGGCACTAATAGAAAATTTGACCTTCAAATTGTTTACAACAATATTGGTAGTTAACTTGTAATAGAAGTATGCCATATATTCCAAAGAATGATGAACTTTTATAAATTTGTTGTTAGTCAAGTAGCTAACATTGGAATTTATTAAAAATCTACTTTCTAACCATGCTATGTTGAACAAGAGGTATTTTTACTCTCTATATAAGTAGTAACAGATATCACTGTTATTTGTTTTGCAATTTCACGAAAAAGAATTCTAAAGTATTTTCTTTTATTTTAAGAATTTTACTAAATATTGAATTTTATAGTTTAAATTCACATACCGTACAATGCATTACAATAAGATTAAAAGAAACATTAAAAATGTATTTGTATTATCAATGTTATGTATCAATATTTACTTAAGATTTTTTAAACTAAGTACAGAACAAATTATAACTCACCATCCTTTATGGATGCAGGAAAAGGTGGCATTGGTTCTTTAGCATACAAAGATTCACCTACAATACAACCCAAACTATCCTCAATTTTAACCTGTTCTAAACTGCCCACCCATTGCTTCATCACAGTATCTATAATTTTAAATGCTTCTGACATCTCCACCATGGGAAAAGGAGATTCTCTGGGCCTCAAAGCCACTTTGGATAGATCCACTTTGCTTGTTATTTTCTTATGTGGACAAATATGATCAGATTGCATTGATTCATGAACAGAGTTAATTTTAAGTGTATCATTTTTAATTATTTCTATTGCATGATGTAATATTGGTTTAATAACTTCAAAACACTCCATCACTGCCTTTCTACTGCCTGGGAAATTTATTATGAGTGTTTTATCTCTTACACCAGCTACTGACCGAGAGACCATAGCCATTGGAGTCTTCTTGAGACTTTCAATTGCCATTGCTACAGCTATTGCAGGAACTTCGCGATCGATAACTGCCTTTGTTGCTTCTGGTGTTACATCTCTACAACTTAATCCAGTCCCTCCAGTGGTGAAAATTAAATCAACATTCCTTATACAATATTCCTTAAGTTTATTTTGAATAATTTCTTGATCATCAGGTATAATGGCAGTATGAATAAACGATTGTTGAAAAACTTCTTTAGTCAACTGAACAAGTGTTGGACCAGAAGTGTCTCTAGAAGCATCTTTCATACAAGAGTCACTAACAGTAATTACAGCTATAGACGTTGGGGCCTTAATAAAGGTCTCAGAAACGACTGAGATGACTGACGATGAAAAAGTCTGAGAACAAGATAATTGCCCAATAAAATAGAAATTATTCACTATTTTTAAGCACATTAAATGATAACAGGCATAATGATATTTGATAATATCACGCTATTTATATTTACCAAATATAATAATCAACAACCTGACACATGTCAAGTCAACATAATGTAATAATGTCAATTGTCAAGTCAATGTCACTTTGTATTGACTGTATGTAGGAATCTCAATTCTACAATCTATAATAACAAACGACCCACCCGGGCTTCGCGGGTAGCCATAAATATAAAGCTTCCTCTTGAATAACTCTTATGTAGTAAAAAAACGCATCAATCCGTTGCGTAGTTTTAAAGATCTAAGCATACATAATGGCAGACAGACAGCGGGAAGACTTTGTTTTATACTATGTAGTATCTAAAATGCCTAAAAAAATATTCATTCATTCATAATATACATAGAGCGCGATAAAAAATCAAAATGAACAGGATCAAAATAAATGAAGACAGATAAATATCTGCTCTGTCAAGGTGTGGGCTCTGTGTGGGAAACTTATATCCAGCAGTGGATTAAAACAGGCTAAAATGACAAATTTTATTTTTCATAATATTATTGTTGTATTTGTAGGGGTTGTTAAGAATTTGTAGGGAGTCAAGAACGTGCAGGCAAATTTACAGTTTCACGGCCAATTCGCATGCATCCTCCTACAATTCGGCGCATATAATAGGGAACTTGTTGGAGCTACGAGAGATGGTGGAATGTCCCTACTCAACTACGGTGGCAGATGACGTGGAGAGTAGCTCCACCTGTACCACTGTCAATCTGTCCAGCGCACCCATGGTGTAGAATGCACACATCAGAGCTGGACCCACTTCAACATCCTTCTCGACCACTTTCTTTCTTACACCTATTACTTATGGGTTCCTTTTTGCTTAACCGTGGGGATCTTTGCTACTATATATAAGCGGGAAATCGGTCTAAGGGGAATACTACGCTCGGGGGTCGAGGGGTACCCATGGTTGGCCGCAAATGGCAGAATCGACAGATTAGAGGTTTATTCCTCGTGGTCCGGCCGTTAAAGTTAAGATCTTGACTATCAGAGATAACCTCACGGTTTTCAGCCTGGGGCACTCTCAATAGAAGGTCTGTTAAACTCCCGCGTGAATCCAGAGAAAGTAATAATGTCGACATTGCGATTTAATCACGAGCACATGTACATACGTCGAAATCGCTTAAGAAAATTGAATCATGAAAGCAATTAATTTAACAATTACAAAAACGATTAAACCATTTACACAAGGTTTACGAAAGTAACTCAAAATAACAAATTGCTAACGAAAGCAAACAGGTTCTGAAAGCAAAACTGTCCTACTGAGAGTCACGAAAGTGATTATGATTAAAAACAACAATAAATATTTCAATTACTCAAAAATGTATTACATGATCATTACTAATTACAAAACTAAAGTTTAAAAAATTCAGTCTCAGATAAAAATTAAATGTAAACACGATTCAAATTAGTTACACTGCAAATTTTTGTACTTTATCAACAAACTCTTGATAGCAACTATATCTATTGAAACCTGATGGCAAGCGTCTATTAAACGCCGAATCGGTTCATAGCGGCTAAGTATATGTGAATTGCCAATAACTATTAATTTGTGCTTTGAACGCGTGACGCTCACGGCAAGTCGGCGCTGATCATTTAAAATTTCTTCTTCCTGAAAATAGACGTCATAAATGCCTGATAGTACTTATTGTAAGTTTTTAGTAGCCAACTACTAAGCATAAGATAAATATACTACGATAAAAATTTCATTTACAGTGGTACTCACCACAGTTAACAAGTAAAAAATAAATTTACCTTCACCATTTTATTTTTCTGACCGTCATCTCTTTTAGTGCAGGAGTATATGATAGCAGATTTATCCCTTCCTTGAAATTGATCCACAGTACTGGCCTCCACTTGTAAATGAGCCAAGGTTCGACGTAACAGTGCCACTTGATCGCGGTATGGCGCAATTACTCCAATATCAGAATTTTTCACACCTCCCTGTGTTTTAAGTTAGTTTTGTAAAGGGTGGATAATTGACAAAATATTGAATATCATGTTTTGAAATATTTTTAAACAACAATAAAATATAATATATTAAATTTGATCAAAATATTCCAACCTCTTTCATTGCCTCAACAAGTGCTAGTACGATGCAAGCTTCTTCCCAATTCGAGATGGTTTTACTTCGAATGTTACTCTCTGCCTCTGAAGTGACAGACTCTAGGTTAATGAAGACGGCAGCATATTTAGGCTCAGTGCTACAGGCGGTTAAAAGCCAAGGTGATTCTGATGAATACAGTGGTGAAATTTTCTGCAATAAAAAATATAAAACATGTAAACTTCGAAATTGCCCGCGTTGACCGTTACAAAATGACGCCACAAACCCGACTAAAGTAAGTTTCGGCTGTAGTCAATACCACTTGACTTTTTTTTTTCGAAACTTATATTTAATAATTGATTAAAAGGTCATTTCATATTTCTTTATAATAAGAGATAACAACAATCTCGTAAGACCTTAATATAAACAAATTAAAAAGTTTACCGCAACATCTATGTTTAAGCAAGCGTTTGCCACCGATGGATTTGCGCACTTCAATCGATCACTGTAAGCAATGCGGTTGGCAAGGTCCGCCAACGCCTGGTTCATACGATACTGCAATTGCAGTGTGGTTGTGGCTGCTTCCGTCATCAGTCTATGGAACAAGCTCTCTTCCATCCCCAATTGCCTGAAATAGTTGTTATGCACATAAATAAAACTTTTTTTACCAACGCTCGAACTAGTAAGTCTTTTGACGTTGAGGAAAGTGAATCTCTTCATAATGTGGGTCGGAGAATATTGTGTGATGATATCATTAGCATCTTTATAGTGTTTATAAATCCATATGATCAAATTAAACTATTACTATGGATTTTATTTTAGAAATTGCACTCGTACTGTTTGTACGGTGCAAGCACTATTAATTTTTCATTGACTTTTTACCTTGCAGCATGTCTCCGCACCACAGGAGGCAGTTGCTCCGGATCACCGACAAGAATGAATCGTTTCGCCGCAAATAATGGTCGAAGCACTGTGCATTGTAAAACCTAAAAGGAAAAAATACTGTTAAACAAAATGTAGGAGGCCTTTGGCCAACAGTGGGGCATATAAGGGCTGCTATTTTCTTTACTTTTTTCGGCAATTAAAAAGGACTGTACTGAAAATTCCGACTTATCACGCCTTGAGCGGTAACTCCCTTCATTAACCTGTGTCGCCTCGTCCACTATGCAAACGTCGAAGCTAGTGCGCGCCAGCATCGCATGCGCCGCTCCCAAACACGTCACACCCACGACCTCCTGAAAATTGCGAAATCATTAAGTCAATGTCGTGTGGAAAAAAATCATTTTCAGTTTAAATATTTCGAATTCAATGTCGAAGTACCGCAGCAAAGAAGGCTAGAGTGAAGTTCTTCACTCTGGTCACTATGTTCTGTATAATGTGTTTGTTTAGTCTGGTGACTTACAGGCGCGTTTGTTTTATAAGGTTGCCAGCCCCTCTGATGTTGTTTGGCGTTTATCACTTAACGACATGGGCAACGTTTGCCGGTTTGCCAAGTAAACTCATAAAAAAAACTATATGTAAATATTCCTTTAATGTTGACGACATAAAATAAAAAGAAATGTTCGTGTAAGTTAGTAACTTATGTGCGCATGTAAGAAAAATCATCCCGTGTAGTACTATTTCCCGGTATTCTATGTTTGTAAAAAAACATTAAATGCAATTGATAACGGTTTAATTGCAATTATAACAACTTGGAATTATATATATAAATGAATCTTAAAAATGCCATGGCAATCATGTAGTTAGTATCGCTTTTACGTGTCGCGCATTGTAAAAATATTATCTCATCATCCTCTCCAAACGCTCCCAAAGAAATAATAACTTAAAAATAATTCGTAATCTATTATAAAATACGCCTACGCTAAACAATTCGAGGAATGTAGAATAATTGTTGTAACATATGTTAGTTTAACAACTGTCGTCCGCGCTTTTACCATCGACTCGTACAGCTGTGAAAGTTGCTCCGAACTGTGACAGGTAGACGTAAGCCTTTCTTCGCAAATGTTGAGCAGGCTCGGCGCCACGCGAGTGGACGTGCCCAGCCGCATTATCTTAATCGACTCTGGAAGTCTGATGGGTTAAATGAAGAGAATAAGTGCTTATAATTAAGGCAAGCATAAAAAAAATTCTTTCACAGTCATCATTATCATTTCATCATTTTTTATTCCACTGCTAGACGTAGGCCTACTAATATTGAAACGAATTCATCATCATCATTTCAGTCCTACTCTTTAGTCCACTTCTGAACACAGACTTCCCCCACACCTTGAAAAAAAAAGCACAATCCAGAGCCACCAGCATCGATCAAATTCCAGCCCATTTACAGAGGTCGTCACTCCATATAGTGGAGGGTCGTCCTACACAATTATTTCACAACATTTAACAAATAGTAGCAGTCTTTTCTAAAGTTTCGACACAATTCGCACATGTATGAGATCAAACTTACAAAACTAAAATTATTACCTAAATCCAAAAGCACTGTTACAAATACACAGGCAGTGTTACATTAAGAGGAAGAATATATAAAACTTGTAAGTTTATTTTAGCCAATTGTAACGTAATTTCAATTGTACGTGTACGTGATAATTAGGAATAAAAAATTGTTAATATGAAGGATTTTTTTTACCTGCAAAGGACTGTGTCGACGGCGGAGTGGGTATGCGCAGTAACAAGGACGCGTTGCTTCAACGCGACCAGCATTTGTATGAGAACGCTCACAGTTTGAGTTTTACCTAATAAACAGATGAATTTCACTACAACATACTACATAGCATTTATATTTATTTAAGTTTACAGGTAATATACAGGTGAAGTTTCCCGGCGTAAATAAATGATTATCATTAGCCGCATAGAAAATCATTTGTATGTAAATATTTTTTTAATTATTTTTTTTAATATATATATATAAGTGTATTGATATTTTAAAATTATATTTTATAGTATATGTTTACATATTAATTATTTTTATCAAATTATAGAATTCTTTTTTTTTCTTTATTGTACTTATTCTGGAATGTAAAAATATTTAGTTTGTACACACATACCCACCCTACTTACCTACCATCAGTGGTCTATAATCATATAGCAGTGGTTAGCTGGTAGAGAACTCATTTTTGGGTTAAGCACGTTATACTTTTTTTTTTTTCGTGTGGAAATCCTGCATAGGATACCTGTCTACCAAGAGAGGGTAGACAGGTTATGTCGGATTCCTACCGACTAAAACCCCACGTTACTCATCTTTAGTCCTGATGAGGGGGCACGGGATCTCCTAAAGGAACGCAACCGCGGCCCCTCTGACTTACTAAGTAGCCCAGGTTCGGGGATATACTCGCTACCCCAAGTACGTTCGCGAAGATGAGGATCTTGATCGCCTGCAGCCCCAAGAACCCGTTCACTCAACGGAGCTATCTTTGGGTGCCATGGCTGGGAGCTCCAACTCCCTACCGTCGTCTCCGGCGGGTGGGATCACTTCTTTCGCGACCACGTTCAGCAGCCTCCTTTTGCGAGACTGTTATGCTCCAAAAGGAGACTACAGCGCTCCACTTTGGGTTTCCAGACAGCATTGCAGAAATAACTGCTGTCAGGGAAAGTCTCTGTCCAATATGGTTCTCCAGGATCCGCCTCTCCTGCTCCCATGCAGGGCATATCGCAAGCGTATGGTCTGCGGAATCCTAGTTCACCCCACCGCAGTGGTAGCACATCGCCGTCGCTTCTCGTCCAATCCTACACAGATAATCACCGAAGCAGCCGTGCCCTGTGATTATCTGTGTAAGTCTGTAAGTGAGTCTTCCCCACCGTCGCTGCATCCAGGCTTCGAAGACCGGCAAAATTGCCCTTATGACGCGTTTGCGTGCAAATTGCTCTTTACAAAGCCGTGCACGCCACGTCCAAAGAGCGCTAAGCCGTTCTTGCCGTTTAACAGCACGTTATACGTCTATTTTAACATGCCGAAATAATATTTCAAAATCGGTTGAGTACTTTCAGGTAAGTTTCACCACATTTTATCACTTTATAACGTTTATTTAGGTTACTATAATAAATTAATATAACACAGAATTTTTGCAATAGTTTGAATCTTAATGACTGTACTCGATACAGTTGGTACGAGTATTAAAACGGTCTGTCTAATCAACTTTGTTAAAGGCAAATAAAAGAAGGAGCGGAAACAAGTGGAGGAGCCAATTTTAATTAAACTGTGGAAGGGCCTACGTAAAGCTTCGGCTGTTGCACGAATGGGCAGGTCCATCCGGTAGGTACCACAAACTCAAAGAAGACTAGCGTGAAGTGGAAATGTTATACTTCTGCGTTTCGCTGTGAGTGAGGTAGCCGGAACCCGCTTTATTAAAAGGTGGCAAATGTCTATGGGCGGCCGTTATTACTTAACATCACATGAACCACCAGCTCGCTTGCCACATTCTCACATGAAAAAAAAAATCTCTGTTTTGTCATGGACTTCTACCACCTCTACCACCTTCAACCTCTTCCTTCGAGTAAATAAAGAAAAAGGTAACAATTGTCAGTAGCTCATTAGCCATACATAAAGTAAAGTAACAGCCTGTATAAAAGGCCTCCTCTGTACAGGGGGCATAATCCGCCACGCGGACCCTCTGCGGATTAGCGAACTTCCCATATCTTCGAAATATATTTTAACACTAAGTTTCTTGGCCATAACCATCCAGAACGAGTTCTGCGATCAGCTGAAGATCTAATTCTAGCACCACATGCGTACAAAACTAAATATTATAAGAACTCCTTTACAGTTAAGGCCATCTGCTTGTGGAATGAACTTCCTCAGCAAATTCGTCGTTCGAAGACGCTAGACAAGTTTAAAATTGACGTAAAACATTATCTATCGCTTTGTAATCCATAGTTTTTAATGGCAATATTCAGATTTAATTCTTCTCTCGTGTATTTATTTATATATATATATATTTATTTATGTTTATGTATGTTTATTATAATTTTGTTTATCTTATTATATTCAAGTCTATTTTGGTATTAAGTAAGTTTATTGAGCACACCACCTCCCACTTTTCAATAGTTTATTTTTCCTCGTCCTAAGGTTGTCTGGAAGATATCGCTTTATAGCGATAAACCGCCTTATTATACCTAGCTTTTAAGACTTATTTCATACTAATTGTATCAAATTCTTTGTGGTGTACAATAAAGTATATATAATAATAATAATAATAATAATAATAATATATTTTTGTTTGTTGTGTCCTCTAGATGTTTCCTTCACCCCTGAGCACATGATAAATTAGCACTTAAAATTAAAAATTTCATTGGCGCCGGCACCGGGATTTGAGCTCGGGTCGCTGTAATATATTGGATTAAAAGCGAGCGCCCTAACACTGAGTTATCACGGCTATATACAAAAATATTTAATTTCCAACCGGTTCCGGGGAGTCCTTGGAGCAGGGCATAATCCTTTGCGGAGATCGCCTTGAAAACGGCGCGCTGTTGCTCTATGTTCAGTTTGCGCATCAACTTCGCCCCCAGACGGTGCATTTCGCGGGGCAGTTTCTCCACGAAAGACGGCCTCGCCCTGTCTATTATTATGCTGCGATGATAATAAATAAGAAAATCATGAATGTATGTAAATGTAATGTAATCTCATGAAGAATTTAACGTATTGTCATCAGAAAAGAATGACCCAATTGGCGTACTGGATAGGACTTAACACTTGCGACAGAGGGTGTGGGTTCGATCCCCATTACTTGAAAAATCGACGTGGGCTCGAATCCCGCAGCGGCGAAAAAACATGTGATGATTCATCTAGGTGCACTATAAAAATTTAAATTTCAAATAACAATTGCAACATCTATAGTTCAAATGATCGTTGTAACGATATTTGATATTGTTTGTGTGCTGTAAAGGACATACCTAACATACGAGAAAACAAAGAAGATTAAATATTGAGAAATTCGTCGGCGAGGTAATCAGCCGTTTAGGTTAGTGGTTAAATCGTTTGGGCGCGATTGCGGAAGGCGGTCGATTCCCGTAGGGGCGATAAACTCTTCGACAATTTTTTCTACAAATTTTTATGACTTATTACCTTCTTAACCGTTTCGCGCGTTCGCTGTCTTCTATCAGGACGCCCAAATTGGTGAGATTCTGTACTGTGCTAGCATAAGACTCGTACGCGTCTATTTGGAACGCAGTATCACCGCTTTGACGGAGGCTTAGGTCCCTGAAAACGTAATTAAATATTAAAAGATTAGAAAGAAGCCCATTCGAAACGTCAAGTGTTTGATATTAAAAAAAAACGAGTGTGACGCCATGAAGTTGGTGTCGCCTTTATTAGTCGCGCATCTTAAAAATGTATTTGCGCATTTAGGAAAAGCCATGATTCAAACGAGCCAAAAGAAGTATAAGTTCAATAAACCGCGATAAAATCTAAGGTCGGTTTTGTTGGAATAGTCTCAATGACCTTTCTAGAAGTATTTTAATTTCGCCGTGGCTCGCCATCACCACCACGCCGGCTGCCAACCAAGGGCGATTGTGTATGCTGACTATTGAGAAATCGCCCTCTTGGGGTCCGCTCGATTTGCTGCCTCGCGCGGCGGGCTCTCCTAGAACAAATTTTGAAAAGTCGGACCATCAATGAAGCCGTGGTGGCTCAGTGACCGGGCGTCCTTTTAGTTCAACAGACTTTGGTCAACTTGAGTTGTAACCCCCGTGCCGGAACAAATAAAATTCATTCGTTTATCAGGTGGTATTGATGAAATTCATTCAGAAAATATGTAAATAGCTTTCGTAACTGTAAATGGATTTAAAAGTGGATTGAGTTTAACAGCTTTTTGCCCGTTTTACTCCCCGTTTTTATACAGGATCGATTGCATTATTTGACTTATTACTTGTTTTACTTTGCAATTTTTTAATTGTGGAAGGGTAACGCTACAGTCTTCGCTGATGCACGAATGGACAGGTCCGCCTAGGTAAGTACCACGACCTCACAGAAGACTGGCGTAAAGTGTAAGTGTTTTGTTCATCCTGCGTTTATTAAAAGGTGGCAACACATCTGGGCTACGGGTGTTGCAAATATCAATGGGCGGTGGTTAGCACTTAACATCAGGTAAACCGCCTTTCTCGCTTGCCACGTTCTCACAAAAAAAAAATTGAATGTCTGCATGACTGATGACTTATATTACTTGAACATTCACATTGAATATTGGATGTTAAATCTCACCTAGTGGGTTACGATCGCGTTGAAAGACATGCAGGTATCTGTGGCCCGAACATTGAACCGATCGCAATCTAAGGTTCCCCGTACACGTACCGCGCTTAACTCTGTCGAAAGTTATTACTATAATTAACACACTGTAATGCACTTTGTGGAGGAATTATTGTGTTCAGCTGTTTTTGAAAACAACATAGATGATAAGGATCTGGACATTTTCTGGTTATAATAACGGGTATCCAGTAACATTAGTTTTTTGTTGAGTCGGATATGATTTGAAGGAACACATTCATATTTGGCGATCACTAAAAACGCAACTTAACACACGCCATTTTTCGAAGCATTATAATAAAATTTGAATGTACAGAGCGAACAGACAAAACTTGTTTAAAAAAAAATGTACCGTGCATTTAATAAAAATCGGTTATTTTAATTAAAAACAGCCACTCCAATTTTATTTATCTGTATAGAAGATGTATAGATAAGCCGCGCTTTCACTAGGGGACGAAATGAAGGCGACCGTTTATTCCGTTGATGATTGGACGCACCTCTCCTCAACGCTGTCCGTCCACAAGGCGTGAAGCGGCGCGGAGGCCGATTGCACCTTCTCTTCCAGCTTCAGAAGTCGAGTCCACTGCAGGAAGTACTCAATGTGCTGCGGAGACAAGTGCCCCAGCGCCTCTTCGCGAAGTTTCGACAGCGGGTGAGACTTTGACACCACCGGGCCCTCGGTATGCCTGAGAAAAATGTCAATTCATTCATTTTTAGGGTTCCGTACCCAAAGGATAACACGGTACCCTATTACTAAGGTTCCGCTTTCTGTCTGTCAACTCATGAACATGGGCTGTATCTCATGAACAGTGATAGTTAGACAGTTAAAATTTTCACAGATGTATATCTGTTGCCGCTATAACAAGAAATAATAAAAAACAAAATAAAAAAATATTTAAGTGGGGTTCCCATACAATAGACATAATTTTTTTGCCGTTTCTATAGATGGTACGGAATGGTACGGAACCAAAGAGTCCGCACATGGTCGGTTTTTTTTATATGAATAACTTGCTAACAAGCAGGTCGAGCAGGCATCACTTAACATCAGGTGCGGAGATTTCACAAACAAATAAATAAATATTTCAGGACACTTTAATACATAACGTTTTCTAGTCCCAAACTAACAACGCTTGTACTGTGGGTATTTTATTTATTTATTTATTTAAACTTTTTGCACAAACATTTGTGTACAAAGGCGGACTTAATGCCATCAGCATTATCTCCCAGTCAACCTTGGGGTGGTCCAGAAAAGTTAGGGTAGGTGCATTAATAACAAATTTACAACAACAGAAAAAAAAAATAAACCAATCAAAAGATTTTCCAATATGTACATTACATATGAAATCTACCAACAAAATACTACACTAATAATATCTGATAAAACTATACAATACCATACATATATATAAAATAAAGTAAACATATTAATGCACGATGCATACACATATACACGAAGACTTACATACTCATATTTTATAAATAAATAATATATAATATATACATACTTTATATTATATTTAACGATTCAGAGAATCTGCTGACAGTTTTTTAAGGAAGTGCTCGCGAGTTTTTCCTTTTAAATGCGGAGCGACTTTTAGCAGTCTTGATTTTGAGAGGCAGCGCGTTCCACAAAATAATGGACTGAACAAAGAAAGACGAGTGCATGAAACCAGTACGATGAGAAGGACATTGGAGAAGATGGTTATGTGTCGAGCGAAGATTTTTATGATGGATTGTACTAAGATATTGAAAATGAGACGATAAATAAGATGGAGTAGAAGAAGAATTTAAAAAAGAATAAAGAGTGGTTAGTGCTCTTAAGGAGCGGCGTTGGCGAATGGGTAACCACTGAAGTTGGGAACGATAGTGAGACACATGGTCATACTTACGAAGATTGAAAATGAATCGAATGCAGTTATTCAGAAGACGGTCTAGTTTATTGAGGTGATCTGCATTCAGGTCAAAGTAGCACACGTCGCCATAGTCGATTAAAGGAAGGATTAAGGACTGCACGAGCGTAGCTTTAGTTTTAGATGGTAAAAAATGTTTAAGTCTGTATAGGCAACGTAGAACACTTGTGACCCTCTGACTGACACTGGCGATTTGGTCTTTCCAGCTCAGGGTCATATCGATAAGCAAACCAAGGTTTTTCACATTCTGGCTTATGGGGATCGTAGAGTTGTTGAATATTATTGGTGGAAGATTGCCTAAATGTACTTGATTTATAATACGACAACTCCCAACAAGAGTTGCCTGACACTTCGAAGGATTGACAGTCAATCCGAATCTGTCAGACCACTTTTTTATAGCATCTAGGTCTCGGTTGATGTTGTTGATCACAACGGATAGGCTGTCACAGGTTGCATGAGCATACAGTTGTAAATCGTCAGCATAAAGATGGTACGCACACTGAAGATGACGAGTAATAAGATTTATGAAAACAGAGAATAAAAGAGGAGAGAGAATTCCGCCTTGAGGAACACCAGTCGTCAAATTAAGCCAGTTTGATGACAATTCACCGACATTAATTGACTGTTGGCGCCCTCGAAGATAGGATGTGAACCATTCCAGCACTTCATCAGAAACCATAATGTGGGAAAGGATGGCTAAAAGAATGTCATGACTGACGGTATTAAAGGCGTTTGAAAAGTCAATTAAGGCCATGACTGTGATTTTGGTATTATCCATGGCTGCCCTTATATCGCCAGTCACTTTTAGCAGTGCGGTGGTGGTACTACGTCCTGGCCTAAATCCAGATTGGAGTGGACTAATAAGGTTATTAGTAAAAACAAAATCAGAAAGTTGTTTAAGGACGCAGGACTCAAGTACCTTGGAAAGGAAGGGCAGGATACAAATTGGTCTATAATGGGCAGGAAGTGAAGGATTTGGGCACTTTGGAAGAGGACGGACCAGAGCTTTCCGCCATTGGGAGGGAAAAGAACCAGTATCCAAGGAAAAATTAAGGATATGGGTAATCACAGGAAGAAGGTAATCAAGGATGGGAATAATCATACGTCGGCTGATTTTATCAAATCCAACTGCATTGGACTTAATAGCAAGGATATTTTTTTTGGTTTCGTCAGAAGATACTGGAGAGAAGTGAAACAGATTAATACTAGAGCGCGACAAACCATTTAAATAAGAAATAGTTTCAATAATCGTCTGATGATCCATTACAGAAGTAGTGATGAAATGTTTGTTTAAATCATCTAAGGCGATGGAAGTAGGCAGGTTTGAGATTCGCGACTTGCCAATACCGAGAGTCCCGAGGAATTTCCAGGTATCAGCAGGAGAAGACGAAGATATGTTGTCGAGAATATGACGGCGTTTAGCGTTACGTACCATCTGATTACACCGATTCCTAGCCAATTTGTAGCAGGACCAATTCTCGTCAGAACGGTTCTTTTTAAATTTACGAAAGGCACGATCCCTCCGCCTCATAGCCATCCGAACTCCTTCGGTCATCCAAGGAGTCGAATGACGCTTCAGCTTAACTTCCTTGACGGGGGCGTGGACGTCATACAATTCTGTAACTAGACCGTTAAATATATTAACCTTATCATCTATAGTGTTTGCCTCCATCACAGGCTTCCACTCGATTTGAGCTGCATCCTTGCACAGTTGTTCTACATTTAATCTAGCGAAAGAACGCACGTGCAGAACTTTGGGCTTAGGTTTAGGAGGCTTCAGGATGTAGGATAAATATATACAATCGTGGTGAGAAAATCCAGGAGCCAGGTATTGTCCGTGAGAGGAGATCATGGATGGATTGGAAGTAAGGATTAAGTCAAGCCAAGTGTCTTCATCGGAGAGGTTATGGTGGGTGGCCTGGAGAGGTAAGATATGAAAACAGCTCGACTCAACTATTCGTAGGAGTTTGCGGGTTCGGGAAGAATCAGGTGATAGGAGATTGGTGTTAAAATCACCCATGACAACGTGGTGGGCATACTCCGAACCCAAAGATTCTAGAACCGGTTCGAAGTCGGTGAAATAGTCGATGTTAGGTGGACAGTACACAACGCCAATAACTATCTTGCAACCTTTAACAGATACTTCTAGAAAAAGGTATTCAGCAGTGGCAGAGTAATTCTCAGAGGAGGAGGCCAGAATCTTATATGGGAGATCATGTCTAAGGTATATCGCGACGCCCCCACCTCCTTTACCTATACGATCGTTTCTGATTAAAATAAAACCTGGTAGAGAGAACATAGTGGAGAGCAGATGGGGTTTGAGCCAGCTCTCAGAAATCAAGACAGCATGTACGTTAGAGTTGGAGAACGTGTCACACAAGTCGCTGTAGTGGCTAGGAATACTTTGTGCATTTAGATGACAAATGTTCAGGAGCTTACTGTTAATAGAAAAATTATGTCTTAAAAAGTCTCCAAGTGAGTCGCTTAATGAGCAAAAACTGTCGTCTGAAGAATTAGCAGATTCGTTGGCAGATAAGTAAGAATCATTATCGCTAATGGACATAATTAAAAATATATATAAAAATATGTAAATAAATATAAATCTATATAAAATAATAATAATAAAAGTGAGGTTATTATGGATGGAGCAGGACAACCTTCTGCACCACCCGCCAGCACGACACATTTGTGAAATGATATGAACTAAAAAAAAAAATATATGTAAATTAACAAACAATCAGAAATAACAAGAATCAAATTTTAACTTAGGAGTCCAAAACAAATAAAACATTAACAAAAAACTTACTAAGAAGACGTAGGTCTAGGCCATAAAAATATTAAAAATAATTAAAAGAAAAAAAGAAGTAGAATAAATCACATAGGTACATGTTGAAACGGAACGTTCTCATCTCAATCTGTCTTGACATTTCGTTGCAAACGTCATATGTCAAAGAGGTATATGCATAAGTTATTTGATTACGGCTGTTGCCGACTTTTTGTCGAGAGAGGTTAAGTGAGTGATATATGTGCTGTTTATTTCATTTTCATTATTCCATTATTTAAACTTGTAAAGTGCTGTTGATTTACTTTGTAAAATAATTAACGTTTTGGTGGTGATTTAATCAATTTATCAGTAGTAAGTGTTAGTTAGTTGTGCCGTCTTAAATGTAAGTACGATGGAGGAGGATCCTCCCGATCCTGATGGGGATGTCACTCAGATCCCTTCATCATCTCCGTCTTTTATGGAAACGAGTATTACACAAAGTAGTCGAAAACGCCCAAAAACAATAAATCCTATACATCCGCAGAAAATAAATAATGCTAATCCTCTTCAACCCTTTCCCTCCATTCAGTCATCTTTTATACATCCCGATTTTGTAAATAAAAAAAAACAAATATAGCGACGAAGATACTGCTCCGTTCCTTGTCCATGTAAGTAAAGTTACTAATGAATTAACATCAGGAACAGCTCTAAAACCAATAAAATTCGGACATTTCCTATTCCACAATAATATCAAAAACATAGTTTGCGATGGAGTAAAGCGAGTTGGACGCAATAGAATCTCCGTCGAATTTAAATCTGCTGCTGCAGCTAACATTTTTATTGATCATCCAGCCCTTCCTGCAGCTAAATATGAAGCAGTTATCCCTTCATATAATGTGACCAGAATGGGTATAGTTCGGCAAGTCCCAATAGAATGGACTCTAGAAGACCTTATCTCTTGCATTAAGGTTCCTCAAGGCTATGGCCCTATTATTAAAGCTAGAAGATTAAA